GGGAAAGAACCTGCCATGGGGTGTTTGTGTGTGTGTGTTTGTGGGAAGCACTTACAATTTTCCCCATCTCCTAATTTTGAAGAGGTAGTTTTAGTGCATATTTCGAAGAGCTTTACATAAACACATCTGCTGGAGTTTTTGCTCGGAAATGTCTTTACAACCGTCTTTTCTGCCCCCTCCCTTTCCTGGGACAAAGAAACAGTTTGACCATTTTCTTTCTCAATCAGATGAGCAAAGCCAGAGAGCAAGAGAGAAAATAAAAGGGTCGTTTTGCCAGCACCAAAAGGCTTCTCAGCCCGAGGTGGTAGGTTCTGGAAACACGGCAAGCAGCTCAGCCCACCCTCGCCGCGGCCAAGAGCCCAGGGCAGAAGCACATGGGAGGTGGCTGTGGCAGAGAGCCACGGGGATGCGAGAGAGCGGGGACCCCAACCCTCTGCCTGCCCCATCCTGCCCAGCCAAAACCTCCAGGTGAGGATAGGAGAGGAAAGATGGGCTATTCAATCACACGCCCATGCACTTTTTGCATGTTACTCAGGAGAAGCAGCGAGAGCATCCCTGGGGCGAGTGGCTTCGGGCACAGGAGTTTCTCCCACTTCCCCTCGAGGCAGTGTGCCTGCCAGGGATGCCTGTGTCCGTTCACAGCCTGATGTTCCCAGTCCCCAGGCGAGGCATCCATCATCGGCTTAATGCCAGTGAAACATTCACAACTAACAGGCTCATCAGAGATGCTTTAACCTTTTTCGTTTTCGGGGCTCTAGCTGGTTGGAGCCGCTCCTACCTTTTCACTGGGGGCTGTAGCGATGACGGGAACGTGGAGCCAGCCAGGGCTGAAAAGGGCAAGGTAGTAGTTTCTGCATTGGCTTTCCCAAATACTCTGTCCTGAGCTTGAAAATGCTGGTGGTGCAGGTCTGCCAAGTGCAGTCAGTGCTCGGGGCCTCCAAAGTGCTTGTGTATGCGGCGGGGGGCATCCAGCACGCAACCCAGCTGCGTGTGCAAAGTGAAATAAATGATTTAAAAAAAAGGCTTGGTTAGCATGATCCAGCCCCAGTGTGCTTACGCTGCTGCTTGCAAAGCAACTGGAAAGGGCAGAGGGGCTGTGGGAAGGCCACCAAGGGCTGGGACTGCTGGAGCCCGTCCTGCGGAGATGAGGACGATGGTGCTGCGAGTGGGGAGATGGCCTGGTGGCAGGGTCCGGCAGCTGAAAGGTCACTAGGAAGTCAGTTTTCTTGCTTTTCTCTCTTCTTGAGATGAGTTGCTGTGAGGGAAAAGGATGATTGATGAAAGATTTGTGGCAGGAGACTGCTGCGAGGCCGGGGCACAGGAGCTCAGCTGGGACACGGAAGCCTGCGGGCAGGGGAGGGCGGCTGCCCGGCCCCGGCAGCGCCGAGATGCCAGCACGCAGGGATTTCAAGTGCACACCAAACCCGCACCGACTGCATGTCACTGCGGGGCCGGCGGGGACGGGTGTCGCTGGGCTCAGCTCCCGGTGAAGCGTGCGTCACCAAGTGCCACATTTCATGGCCTGATGAGATGGCACTTGGTCATGTCACCGAGGGCGGCAGCCCGGGATGGAGGAATGGGGATGGTTTGTGAGTTAGCGCTGATTCCTGAGGCAGCAAATACCTTGTGCCTTTGCCCCATCCTCTGTGAGGGGTGCCAGGATCCGTCCGTGGGCAGGACGGGCAGTGCAATCCCATGGGGGCTAACGAGGGGGGAATATTTCCCCGTGACTGTGCTGGTTTAAGCCCCCAGGACTCACCCATGGGGCTCACTCGTGGCTTTGGAGGCCTCAGCATGTCTTTAACAACCTCCATGAGGGGTATTTGCTGAGCCCAGCCCATCTCCCAGGTCTTCCAAACGCCCTGTGGGACCTCCCCAGTCTTCCATTTTCCTTGGCATCTGCAGGGAAGTGGCCTTGTCCTGCCACCCATGTGCACGGCCACATCAGGCTCCGGTACGACACCCAGTGCCAACGCTTGCTGTCGAGCCTGTCAGTGACTTTCTACCTTTCCCCAGCAAACAGTGATGCCCAGTCCCAAAAGGAGCTGTTGCGGAGTGCAGGGGCCGCAGCATGGTTAACTGGCCTTCATGGTACCACTATGAACTGGGGGTGACATGCCAGCCACCCCGAGGAAGGGCGGCAGGATGGGTGGGCAGCTGCCTTGTCCTGGCCTGGCTGCCCATGGCCAGGAGTGCATCCTTAGGGACAAACACGCAACCCATACGTTGGGCAGAGAGGCTGTGACTCCTGCTCCGATGGTGGAGCAGCGTTGCCCACCAGCAGGGCAAACCCTGGGCATTCTTCCTGCCTCCTCTTCCTCCCGCCTGCTCCGGCACATGTCTCTGCGGGCAGCGCTGAATGAGCCTCATGCTTCCAGCTGCATCACCCCCAGCATCCTCGCTGCCCACCCGGGGCCAGCTCCAGCAAAACACCCGCAGAGGCTTTTTCCTTTCTGCTGCAGGAGGGGACTGGCAGGGGAAGGTGTGATAAGCCTCTCCTTTGAGGCCACGGTAATCGTTCACACCAAACTGCAAGCACTTTTATATCAGTCAGGAAAGGCAACAACAACAACAAAATGTTTATATATATATATATTCAATCAATGTCTATGGAGCTTAACGCAAGGGGGTTACCAGCCAGTTTAGAGCGTTAGTGACTCTCAGCATTCATCAGAGGAGAACATTTGGTTGAATTGATGCCAGCCTTTGATGGAATTGGAGAATAATTATTTCCATCAATAATTACTTCCTAAGCCCAGAAGAAATGGTTCCTAGCGTGTTGCAGGACAGGAGTCCTTGGTTGCCTCAAGGCCAATATGTTTAACCCCCATACGTGAAAATCCCATTAGTGGGAGCGGGGGCCGGGGTGAGCGGGACATCCCCCGCCGTGCCCGGGTCCCTCCTGCAAGGCAGCGGTGCCTCAGCGTGCTGCCAGCCCGGGGAGGAACGGAACCCTCCTGCCTCCACTGCTGGAGCTGATCCAGCCCAGACTTCGCACAGGTCATTAATTTGGGGACATTTTTAATGGATCCTAATGATTGAGCCTCAGAAGACTTTTCTTAAAAGGGGTTTGGGAAAGGCCACAAGCTAATTAGCTCGCACAAAGAAAGCAATTAACCATGTAGCTTCCCGGATGGTTAAAAATAACATAGATGTTGGGAAGCGACTGAGGGATTTATTACAAGCAGAATAATAGATTTTTAAAGCCAGAGGATTTTTAAAGCCATCACCTCCTGCATGTCCTGGGCCAGAAATATTTCACCCATCTTCCCCCCAGTGACCCGTGTCGCTCGTATTTGGCCGATGCACATGCTTAAATGTTCAGGCATTACAAAAAGGGCTCCAAGAAGGAGTCAGCTATCTGAGAAAGTGGGAATTTGTTGAGAGAGAAAACACAGGTGGAAAGAGGGGTGACCCTTCTTCTGGTGGTGCTCCTGTGCCAGCTCCAGCCCTCAAAAGTGTTGCTCAAGGCTGAGGCAGGCAGCAGGACGTTCCCTGCCACATGCAAGCCACCGGCCATACCTAACCAGGGCTAACGTGCCATTTTAGCATCACATTGCTCTTTAACCACCTTCTTGGCCCCATTTACCCCTCCTAGATGTGCCGCATGCACCTGGGCCCAGCCTCTTGTTCCTATCCCCACAGCCCACATGTGATGGCTGCGACAGTCTCTGCAGCCAAAGCACCTTCCCAGCATCCCTAAGTCACTGTGGCTGCAGGGCTGGCAGGGGGACACCCCAGCCTCCCCCTGCTCCGGTGGGGTCCACATAGCCCAGGGGCTTCGGCGTGCTGCTTTCCGAAGGGAGGAGGTAGGTTAGGTGGCAGGCACAGCAGTGGGACCTTGCAGAGCTGACCTGGGGATGGCTAAACCCCAAAGCAGCACCCACAGTCTGTTCTGGAGATTGGCTTCAAAATGATAATGGGAAGAAATGGGGACAATTTCACTGCCAGCTGAGTCCAACCCACCATCGGTACCACCCCACAGCCAAGTTGGGCTTGGACATGCTGACGCTTGCTTTATTTATTCAAATAAATAATTCTGGATGACACCAAAACCGTAGCATTCTCGGTGCCCCTGCTGAGTATGGTTTATGGCCTTCCATTAGTCTTTCTGTTCCTTGAAATAAACATCTGCAGGGCCTGGAAACCTATTTACTTTCCTCCCAAGTGTCAAAGCTCTAGCTTGTTTGGGTTTCTTTTCTCCATTTGGCTTCTTTTCTCTCATTTGCAGACCTCTCACCCCAGGCTTTCCCTGCCCTGGCTCTGCTCCTCACCAACTCTCACGGTCTCCCCAGGGCTCTTGCAGGCACCTGCCTGGCCCAGGTGGCTTCCCTTAGCTCTGCTGGGCTGGCCCAGGTTCTCCTTTTTAGGACCAGGTGTGGTTACTGGCCCAGCACCCTATTTATAGGAGCAGGGAGGAAGGCTACTCCTTGCCTGCCAAAAGTTTGCTTCCACCTGAGTGCTGGCAGGGAGGATAGGATGAGGATGTGTAGCAATGTAATAGCAGGTTTGGAGAATGGCATTTGAAATGCAAAAGCTTTTTTTCTACCAGAGTGCAAGACCAGTGCTGTCTCTGCAGAGCTGGTGAGCTAAAACCCACAATGCAGAGGATGATGTCCAGGGATGCCGGTCTGATTAGCTACCATCGCCCCTTGCTGTTGCATTGGATCCGGACCCCCTGCTGTCCCCGCAGTATGGGGCCATCCAGCTGCTCCTCAGCCCCACGATGCTCGTGGCATCTCTGCCTGAAAGCTGAGCGCAGCGTGCCCACGCTGGGACACAGCTTGGCTTGGAAATGGGGGCTTTCCAGAGCCTTGTAGGAGCATTTCCCACTGCAGGGCTGAGCACCATGGACTCAGGAGGCCCGAGAGCAACCTGCCGCTCTCCTTCGCAGCAGCACGTGCCAAGGAAAGGCAAGGGGATTCCCCAGTCCGCGGGAAACCTTCAGCCAACAGGCCCAGCTGAACAGACAGTTCAGTATCGCTCTCTTGCTCTCGCAGTGGGACGCTCGGCTGCCTGCCGTACCCCGTGGAGGACAGACGTCCCGAAAAGCTGAGCGGTCGTGCGGTCAAGGAGGCCTCCACCACCAACGGCTGCGCGAAAGGGAAGGAGAGACGAGGCCATGGTCACCGCAGGTCACGCAGGTAGGAGCCAGGGCTGTGCGTGGGGTCACCCCAACACAGGGCGGTGGCAGAGGAGGTGTCTGTGACTGTTTATCCAGCCCCTCCGGGGGTCTGTGAGAGCTGGGGATGGTTTAAATGACCGTGTGAGTGTACAGCAAATGTATGCGATTGCATGAAGCCCCAGCGTATGTCCGCAGGGAGAAACCTGCGAACCTGCAGTTCACTTCCACTCCACGTCGTGCTCTTACAGCTTCCTTGCACGTAGCCCTGGCTGGAAGACAGGCGACCTACCGGCATCCCTGTGCCCAGGGTGACCCTGGCTGGGCAGCACCCTCAGCAATTCCCTTCTTTCTCCCCATGCCTAGATCAGATCAGCGGCATTGGCTTCATTAGGACACAGCTTCGTTATCGGTTTGTCATTAGCCCCTGACAACCTGAGAGAGGAAAAATGAATTGAATGCTGTAAATGAAGCAGCTCGGGTCTCTGAGCCTGCTAGGCTATCTCTGGGATTAAAGACTCTCCGTTTGGCTAAAGACACTGGAAAGAAAGCAAGCAAGCACATTTCATATCTTTAGATTTCAGGCTAACCGGAACAATAATCTAAAGCGTATTTTTAATTAGGCATTGATTACAATCACGGAGAAACAATTAAAGTTGGATCAGTGCAGGGAGAAAGATTCTACTTCAAAGACAAAAGGCTTTATCATGGGAGAGGGAGAAGAGCTCTCGGGAACCGCCTGTGGCCCCACGGTCAGAGGTTTCTGTCCGCTCTCCCTTGGTTGTGGCAGTGCCTGGCCGTAGCCCCAGGCAAGGGGGGGCTGAGACACCCCCAGACCTGTTTGCTGGGGAGCCCAAATCTGTGCTAGGGGAAAGCATGGGGGAGCTGGGGTTGAGCATCCTGATAACCGAGGGGCTGAGACCAGTGTTCAGGTCCCTGCTCTAGCACAGACCCCTACGGTGTCTTTGGGCAGATGTCTGAGCTTAGCGGCAACGAGCTGTCTTGGAAAAGACATCTCTTCTACCTTAATGCAGATGAAAGACCCACTAAGCCCAAGGTGTGCCATATCCCCTAACCGGTTGGTGAAATCCTTGGGAGGAAAAAGAGAGTGAGAAGGAGTATTGGGGTGTTCCTCAGGGCCACAGTGTAGTTGCACCCCAGATTTACTGCATGGCATTCGGTTATCTGCAGTTCACAACCAAAGTGTTAGTGTACAGCTTTGTTTTGCGAAGCGATTTTAAAAAAAGAGCATATTAAAAGCACTAAGCAATTGGCTTTTTGTGACAGGCTAATTTTTGCAGTAATTCAAGCCCCAGGTGAGCAAGTGTCGGGGGGCAGTGGAGCCTGAGTTGTGTGTCTCCCCGCCAAAGTGACATTTGTTCTGCATTAGGACTTTTATTAACAATAATGTTTGTTCTTTCTGCAGAAAACTGCTCAGTTTTTGTCCTGTTTCTGTAGTGAAGACCTCATAGTGATTTCCAAACCTGGGGCCGCCTTCACACATTCCCTGCTACTGGTTTCTGCTGGTGGGGCGAGAAGTGGGGAAACTGAGGCACAAACCCAGCACCCTCATTTCCAACAGTGATTTTGCAGTGACCCGGGGGAGCTGGCTGTGCCCCCCACAAACCTTGGTCCCGGATCCATTTGGGGATCTATCTGAGGATCTGCAGGCCAATTTGGGGATCACCCTGGGGATCCACAGGCTACCACCAGCTGCCCCCACCTTTATGAGCATTTGCTTTGGTTAACGAGTACCCACAGAGTGTCTGTTGTATTTTCAGCCCAATGCTCTGAATTAATTTAACCACGGTATTTGCTTTTCATTGAAACGTAATGCGATTTGGCATCATATGCTTAAAAAAGAAATTAATTTACAGGAGTGGTTTTTTTTCAAGGTTTAACAACTGTGTAAGAGATGCGTATCTCATTAAATTACCATAGCATCTCAATAAATAAATATATATTTCTAATCAATTGCTATATAACATATGTCAAGTCTCTTATTATAGTTAGATGCATCTGGTTGCAATAATTATTGTATGCAAATTAAATGCCAATTAATTATTTAAAGCATATTTACAAAGAGCAACAAAATCTATAAATCTGTTACAGAGTCGTTAACCTCAGCAAACATGTTTTAAATAATCAGCCAGCGTCGCTGTGGCGTACAGTAGCTGTCTCATTATATCTCCATTAGACCCGCAGAGGAGACACTTCATTTAAACTGTGACCAAATTATTCGTTAGAGGGTAATTAGGCACTCGCCTGTGCCCCGGGTCCACCATGAAAACTGATCTCCTTGCCCCAGATGTCCCTGAGGTGGGGACAGGAGAGAGCAGTCCCATGTGAGCTGATTCAGGTTTTATTTTTATTATTTTTAATTTTAACTAGGTTTTTTTCCATCCCTCTCCTCAGCCCCTCGTGTGATGGGGAGCGTGTGCCGCCGCCAGCCCGGGGGAAGAAGAAGAAGAAGAAATCCGGCCGCAAGAAGCGAAGGAGGTGAGGGTGGCCATGGCGGCGTGTGGGGCGTGAGGGGACAGGCAGCCCTCGGCTGTGTGTGAGGGAAGAAAGTCGGTGTAAAATGGAGGCTGGATACCCTACGGGGAGGTGCGAGGGCCTGGGGGTTTCCACAGGCCCAGGGAGGCGACGCCATTTTCTCACCCTCCCCTGAGGGCCTCTCACCCTGCGGCCTGTCCTGGGGGGGCCCTGGGAGCCCCCGGCCCCTCTCCACCTCAGGGGGATGCCGCTGGTGGTGGGGTAAGGGCTGGGGTGGCCAGGGAGGGCTGTGGGGAGCCCTGCGGTCCCTAATGCCCCTCTGTCTCCTCAGGTCTCCTTCCTACAGCCCCTCGCCTGTGAAGAAGAAGAAGAAGAAAAGCTCCAAGAAGCGAAAAAGAAACAGGTATTTTTCCCTTGAAAATGTAATTCCCTGCTGGCAGTGGCTGTTGGCAGGGGGGGGTGGACAAGGGGTGGAAGACATAACTGCTGTCGGGCAGCTGGTCGAGCCCAGCACCAGGAGGCTGAGAGAGGCATCAAATTCCTGACTCTTAATCATGGCTGCCCAGAGGGCAGGGCCCTACTGGGAGGTGAAAGCTGGACAGCTGAGGAGGGACAGAGTTGGTGTCCCTCTGGCTGAGGAGAGCACAAAATGGGGTGCACACCCAGTGCAAATAGATAAATATGAGCTGTCAGGGTGTGGGGGAAGAAAGACAGACGAGCCAAATCAGCACGAGCTCTGCAGAGCCTCTGCCTGCTGTCCTTGCTCTCCTATTTCACATGGCTCCCATCCTCTGGGACGCCAAGGGGATCAGCACTCGGGGCTTGCACCGGTCTCCTTCCCTTCTCCCCCAGCCTGCAGAAAGAATCAGTGTTTTGACCAGGAAAAGGCTCAGACCAGCTCCCCACATCCACATCTCCGTCTTCCCTCCCAGCCCTGGGTGACCACCTCTAGGTTCCCCTTCTGAAGCCCATTTTTAATTTAAAGAGCACAATTAAATTTTTAAATTGCAAATATTTCACTGTTTTCTCTCAATCGTTAAACCAATATTTGAAAAGAACAGTGGATGCCATCTCCCTTGGAAAGTTCATGCATTTATAATATATTGAACCAAACAGAAGCTACCAAAATGGATAACAGGGTGAAAAGTTGAGTTTGAATCGTAAAGAAAAGGGAGGGAGAGAGGAGAGACACGGATATAGAAACTCCTTTAAAGTACTTCCTTCCCGAGGAGAGATTCTTATGCTCTTTTATGGATGCCATCTCCTGACAGAAGTCCTGGGTCAGATGCTCCTTGGCTTTGAACCTTTAGTACCCCCCTGCAAGCCAAGGATAAGCTGTAGCTGGTCCCAAAAGGTAGCATGATAAACCATCAAGCATTAGGGACCAATGGAGGTTGTTTCCAGACACCTGGTAGAACCTCAACTACGGATCCCAGCTGACCTTGCCACAGGCAATCTCATGGCCCCTCTAGGCAGGACTTCAGGTCATGTCTTCTGCAGGATGTTGTGCTCCAAGCTGAGATGAGACACAGCTGGCTGTCCTCCATGCTCCCAGGGTTTTCTACAAGGACCCACCAGCACAGTGGCTCCTGTGTCATCCCAGGGATGCTCCAGGAGGCTAGACGGAGGCATGATGCTGGTTTGGCTGTGAGGCTGCTCTGGAGTTATACAGAAAGGATTTTCCCTTTGACTGCTATTTGGTCCTTCACACAGAAAGCCAGGGAATGGACTCACCTCTGCCCCCTCAAACTAAGTGCAATTCAAGACTGTGGAGGCAGTAGCAGAGAAAAAGGACCCACCAGGGACAGGGCATGTATCTGATCTCCATAGACTTGTTATCCTGAGGATCGTATTTTCAATTATTTGTAGAGTGTGCTAGCCACTTCTACCGCACCAGCATTTCTCAGCTACCCACTTGGCAGCTGGCTGAAGGAGGGCCAGGGCCATTCTGCCCAACTGGTACATGAGGTCTTCTCACAGTGCTCGGTCTAACACTGGACCTAAACGCATTGTCTCTGATTCAAATTTCCAATGTTGTGAGACCCTGTATTCAATGTACATATTTGTGTCTTGCAGGTTATCCTCAAAGAAGAGAAGACACAGGTAAGAGTTGAGCAAGTGTGGGTGGTCTCTTAGAAATATGAGTTTAATGGTCTCTTCAAGATCTCACAAGGTTGATGTTCACTGGGTGGGGGCAGAAGACATTTTTCTTGTGTGTCTCCTTGTGGAATCCCCTTGGCTCCCCCCATTCCCTGTGGGTCTGGGGCTTAGCCTTATGCATTCTTCAGACCCCACAGGAATCAGGTCTCCAGTCCAACCTGTGCAACCAAGCACATAACTGGAAAAGACCTCTTGGTATAACCTATCCCCTGGCAACCTCATCCATGTTGCATTCGTCCTGCATCTTGAGTCTTTGTTTCTCTTACGGTTTCATTTGCAAACAGTATGGCATCCCCCAGCAGTCCCCATCTTTGACATATTCAGAGTCAGTGGCTTTCCAGGTGTGTACTGGAAGAACTCTCCTGATTCCAGTATGTGTGTGTACAGTATCAAGAAGTATTAATCTTCTCTATGAGAAAATGCAAAGTCACCAGGATGACTGATCCTTTTGGGCCAAGCCCATGGGCCAGATCTGTCAGCAAGCACTCAGACCCCCTGTGCTGTGGCAGAATCATTAATCTCTTTCATTTTTATTGCACGCTCTTGGGCAATCTAGCTGTAACATTGATGTGTGATTGTGCAGCTTTTTATCAGAACAGAAATCTCCGAATTAATTAGCCATTTCTTATTTAGTTCTTCAAGCCCCAAAAGTAAGAGAAAGGAAGAAAGAAAACACAAAAAACAGTAAGTAGCAATTCATGGAGTTCCCTACTCTGCCTGCGCAGAGCTGTGGGACTAGGAAGTGCTTGATGTGGTGGGTCCCCTGGAGCTAACACCGGCTGCACAGCCCTCAGCAATTCTCAGGATTATTTCACAGCTAAATCCAGCAATTCTGGTTTTGCTGGAATGGAAAAGGGTTTGTAGAGGCTGGAGATCTTTCCTCTCCCTCTCTTTTGTGCCACCTCATTCAGTACTTTGTATCTCACAGGGATTTACAGTGTCTTGTTTATCCAGTCCTGAGCAGAGACTCCAGCTTTTCTGATGAGGGCAGCCTGAAAGGATGAACGCAGATGTGCAGAGAGCAGTGCCCCACAGCCTCCACTGCCCAAAGGGCAGGCTGGCACACTCTTACTTGCTCCTCCTTGTTTGTTGCTCTTGGAGGTTACGGTAGGGGCTATTTGTGATATACAGTACAACCAAATATCCAAATGGGAGCAGAAGGCAATGGGGATTAGGGAAGAAAAGGGATTGTTTGGAGGTGATGGATGCTGTAAAAATCTGGGGTTGAGGTTCCCATCTGCCCTGGAGTGTTAGCAGAGCACAATCCTTGTCCTATGGGGCAGATGAACAAGGGGTATAGTAGAAAATGTGGTTCCTTGGGGCTAGAAGGAAGGCCTGTAAGCCTTCTGTTTTTCACTTCCTTCTCAGTCTTCTCCTGGGAATTGCAACTTGCAGCTTCTCACCTGCTTTCAGAGCAAGGAAACGGTTCTGGGGCTGAACCCTGGGCACCAAACCCCTGCTTGGCTTTGCTGGGACTTGGGATACCCTACTAGAGACAGCAACTGAGCTACCAGATGGAAATCTGGTTTGATAGTTTACTATTAGTAGGACCTGCCCTTTAATTCTTCCCAACATAACTTTTAGCTCTTAGGCAGAAAGGAGATAGAGTGACAATAGCCCCTGACACTGCCAGTGTCACCCCACTGTGCACTGGGACTGAAGAGACTGGAAATCCATGAGGGGCAGAGCATGTTGCACTGTCTGCACAGACCATCTCTATTGCACGCGGAAAGCCCATCTCCTTTTCTCTGATTTCTGCACGTTCAGTAGCACAGCCACCTTTTTTCACTCAACCTGGGCTGCTATGCACCTAGAAATCTCAGTGGTAAAACTGAGGCTTCCTAGGTTATCAGTAAAAGCAGATGTCTCCCCAGGCCGACATGGCACTGGCCAGTGTGCAGTAGCCTAACAGTGTGGTTAAAATAAAGATCAGATGCCCTGCTGGTATGCAGCGACCTAGGGGAACAAGAGCTGCTAGAATTGCTCTTTGGGGATAAGCCAGCCATGGCGTTTTAGCCCTCATCTTTCAGCTCACAAACCGCAGCTGAGCCACTCCTGGTTTCTGCAAACCTTATTGCTCCCAAGTGTGGAACAGATAGATCCTATGGGCCATCTCAGATCAGGATTTTTGTATAATCATGCTGCTTCAGCTTATCTTTGTGTCAAGCAACTGGTTATCTAAATCACGCAGGACCAGTTTTTTCTCCTGCAGAAGGGAAAACTCTTAAACTGGAGGGACTGATGCAGAGGGGAAGAGCAAACATGGCGATTTTCACACAAATCCACCATGCGAGAGAGAGATGTTCAGTGTTGCTGATTTCAGCTGTATGGAAATAAGGAAGGAGGATCCCAAAATGTGAAATGTGAAGTTTTTAAAAATATAATCATAGGGTGTGAGAAGCATCAGAGAAAACAGCCAGGCAGAGTTCAAACAATTGCCCTGGAAGCTGCCCTTTTGTCTTAAAGGAGATGTTGTTCTCAATTGATTTGCTGAGTTTTTATAGCTGCAAATTGCTAAGCGCTGTCCAAACAGGTCATATTAGTGCTGTCAGTGACTGGTATAGTGTGGCCATGAAACCAGGCTGTTTCCACCAGCTAACCCATCGTTAGCTTTGCCTGCTGGCACAGCGATGCCAGCTTGAGCAGACAGTTATGCTACCAGATCTAAAATAACTGCTGGGGTGGGAAACAATAAGAGGGAATGGGCACAGAGGGTGACAGGTAGCCTGCCACCCACATCACCCTGTTCTCTGCACGTAGGACTTCAGCTGCCGGCATGGGCAATAACAGCCCTGCGGTAATAGGGCCAGGCAATCCATCTGTAACAGCCTGAATGGAGCAAAGAGAAGTGCAGCAGGGCACTGAACCTGGGTCCCTGCGTACGGTTTGCTGGTAACCGTCCTGTGGCCCTGTCAGAAAAGGGAGCAGCAGTGACTGGACACCTATAAGAAGCTAGGTAAAACGGTCCTGCCCCTCAAGCAGCAACTGTACATAGGGCAGGCTGTACTTTATGTTTGTATAGCAACCGTAAGAGCTGTCCATAGGACTGGCTAGACCCTCGCACGTAGAGAGGAAGAAGAAGGCTGGCTGTTACTGAGTGTATTGTATTATTTGGAGCCTGTCCTTCTGCATCTGCTCTTTAGCAAGGAGCCTGCACTACAGAGAGGGTTGGAGCTTTGCGATGGGTTGCCCGGAGGGACGGTGCTCCCCCAACAAGGCTCAGCAATGGGAAGGTCCCGGGCTGTTTCCTGGCTGTCTTAGGGCAGGCTGCAGGATGAAGGGCAAGCATATGAGCAGGCGAGCACATAGCTCTTTAAAGACTTAAAAGGAGGAAGGATTGGTGCTGTCTGCTGCACTCCTGCATGCTAGTCCATAGATCTTCCCCCAGCAGGCTACAGAGCCAACCTAATAGCTTGTAGTTAAAATGCTAGCATAGATCTCAGTAAGATGACTTGCCTTAACGTCAGTGTAGCCATGAAGGGATGGAGAATTTGTCATGCCTTGGTGTCCTGCGCAATGTTTCATACATCAATCTCTTTGGTTTAAAACACAGATCTCCTTTCTGATTTGAATGTTACTGACTTCAGCCTCCAGCTGCTGGCTCTTGCATCCCCCCAGTCTGTTAGCCTAACAGTGGTTTTCTTCTCTGCTTCTTAAAGCTCTCGTGGGCGCACCCGGAAATCTCATCGCCATCGCTACCGTCACTGCCACTCTTGCTCGGAGAGCTCCGACTCCCACTCGCCCAGCTGCCGAAGCAGGTAACGTCACCGCTCCCCGAGCTGAGCATCCTGCAACGCTTCCTGATGGGCTCAAGGATGTGATTGCAATAGCCTGTGTGACCCACAAGCTCTCTGTGCAGAGCCACATCCCATTCTGGTAGCAGCTACGTCACATACTGGGGGTTGAGCTTCTTGTGGTCTTGGCCGCAGAAGGGTTTTGCCTTGAGGAGCAGTGGCTGCAGCTTTTCAGTCTGGCAGTTGCTTCTGTTCCCCGTGGCTGATAATGAGCCCGTGACAGCTGATTCCAGCCTAGTCTCCCTTCCCCAGCCCAAGGGCTCTGTACTGCTGATGTCCCAGGAAACCCTTAAACATGGTCTTAGCAATGGAAATATATTTGCCTGTGGCAATCTATAGCCATTGTCTTTGACCTGATTAAAATCACTGTCCTGTGGATGACAGATGCATCCTGGGGCCAGCTAAGTGGATGCTGGTGCTAGACCCGGCATCGCTGCAATAGCAAGTCGCATAGTTTATACACATCATGGGTTCATGTTTCACGTTTTCTGAAAGCGCTTAAATAAGCCACCCCCACTCTCCCACTTCACTCCTAACTAGTGGGAATTTTCTTATGAAAAGCTGATGATCAGTGCGGGGAGGAATGCAATCAGGAATTGGAGGGGCATTCATGCAAGAGCAGAGCATATTTCCTCTTGAAGGTGTACTACCACAGGGATAATCAAGGCTGTGTGAAAGTATGGTTTGCCTTGAGCCACTGTAAAATCATGAATTGGAGCTGAAATTTGAGGTTAAGGTCCAAAGCCTGGATGCAAAATATTTTTTTTAATAAGCAGAAAAACAAAACACCCCTTTTCTCTCCATCATGACTCCACAGAGCAGTCATGTGGAAGACCTTCTCCCACACGCAATGGCCTAGCACAGAGCTGCCAAGGGTTTGTATGGAACTGGTAATGGGCACTGCTGCAATACCGAGGAATAATGGTTTGGCTGTTCATGTCTTCTGGAGGCACAGAGCCAGGTCTCGGGAGGAAGGGCGTAAAACACGACGAAGACGTTCCCGGCACCATTCAAAGATCACGGCAAAGCGAAGCTCCTCTGCAGAGGTTCAGGCCAGCCAAAAAGCCAGCCAAACCCTCCCGCTCTACAGCTTCCTGTCTCCTAAGGAAATAGTAAGTATTACACGCTGTGCTGCTTTGCTTGAACTAGCCACAGGAATCTGGGCAAGAAATCTGATATGAAATTTTTATAACTCAATTATAGCGATGTTAGACAAAGTTGGTTAAAACTGTATTATTTATTGATGGTGCTATTCTCCAATGTATTTAAAGTCACTCCTTCCTTCAGCACTTTCATGCCAAGGGTGGGGCTGGAGAGAGGAAAAATTTGCAAAGGCTCTAGCCTATGAATAATGAATTGAGGACATTTAACAAAAAAAAGTGGCCTCCAGCAATGATATTTTACAGGGAAGTGTTTGTTATGCAGTCTTTGCTCAGCTGGATGTGAACTTAATTCACTGGTCTTCATGTCTAAAAGTTTAGTCCTTCGGGGGAAGAAAGGGAATCAAACATATATATAAAAGAAACATTTACATTTAATGACTTGGTGATTATTGGCAGGGGATGTTTTCTGACTATCAAGATCCTTCTAGGATCACTGTTGCTCTGGACTGACAAGCCTAGGGGCCAAATTTGGAACTTAGGAGCAGCTCTCATTGATGCTAATGGGAACTGCATGTGCAGCTGAGGGTAAAATCTGGCTCAGTGCCTTGGGATGTTTTTCCATATACATGGAAAGAGATGATCTAACACATGCCTTAGAATTGAGGGAGCAAGAGATGGAGAGAAACATTAGATACAGATTGGTATGAAGTCTTCCTTTTCCATGGCATGTTTCCCCTTTGTTCCTGGTAGCTGCAAAGCAGCGGTGTGATGCTCTTTGATAGTGGTGTTAGTATCTGATAGGCATTCTGGAGAGATAAATTGCTACATAGGACTCAAGGTAGTGCAGAATCTGTGTGGATGTGTAATGTTAGAGGTGTCTTGAGTACAGAGTCCTCCAAGCCCCAAAGCGGTATATAACAGGGACCAGATTTTCTCCTTTAGGCCCAGTCATCAATTGGAAATAGCTCAGCTATGCACAGTAGCTACATCAGATATGAGATAGATAGTGCCAGCAAGAGGAGAGACTATCCGCTCACCCGCGCAGACGGAGTTCCGATCAAAATACACAGAAATTATACGTGGGTACAGACAGGCACAAGCTGTCTCTCAACATTATGGATATCTATATTTGCTCTCGTTATATACATCTGCTGAGTGTGTAGTGTGTGTGTGAGTCATTGCTTATAGAGCCATATAAGGTAGAGCGAACAGCAGAACCTGCACACCACGCTTGGATGTGTGTGTGTGTGTGCACGCGCACATGGAAAGAAAGAATAACAAGGTATGAAGCTTTGATTGCCATGAGCCTGGGGTGTTGCCCTCTGTCAACTTGGGAAGGTAGGAATGAGCTCAGTTTCCAGAAAACAACCAGCCAAAGACTGCATCATGTCACCAGGGTTTGTTTTTTTCTTTTTTTGGTTCAAACTGCATATCTTACATAAATGTTTTCAAGTCTAAGCCTGGTTTTTAATTGGTACTAGGTTTCCTGTCTCTGAAGCCAGGCTCCCTGAGTCCTGTGAGGCCGACTGCCAGCTGTTCTGTTCCCTGAGCAAAAGTAAACGCTAATTTAAAATTGTAAAAGCTTTAAAATGAGTTAAACTCAAGCATGCTGCACTCCCCTTTCCACTTGCTTCACTCGGGGTAAATGAGCATACAAGCTGCAGGGCAGGGAAAATCAGAGCTTTATAGTTACAGATGCAGAGGATGGATGCAAAGTAAAAATCATCAGGCCCCTGCTGCATTCTTTCTAGTAAGGGTTAATAACACAGGCAAACATTTAAATGACTAAAAGGCATCAGTTCCTTTACTATGCAACCCACTAGTATCCTTTTGTTCCCCAAAAGTAGTATGTTCTCTTGGGACATCATTCAAGAGCACATTTAAGCACTTGTTTAAATTGAAGCCCCTGGTTAAGTGCTGCCCCTGAAATTTTCTGCATAAGGTCATTAAATATCACATACTCAAAACTGGCAAGGGAAAAATGGAATGGGAACTTTTAGTCTCATTTATTAATGACTTATACACAACTCTCTGATGCCTCTCCTTTTTGAGTTAAACGGTTGCTCTATAAATAAGCTTAGCTCTGTCAGAATCTACTTCAAGAGCAGCCTGGATAGGTTATGAAATGAAAATGTGCTCTTGCAGAAAATGTTGATCACATATCAAAAATAAATCACTGGAAAAGGAAAGATTTTGTGGAAAATTCCAGAATTGGGATTAAAAAATGCCATGTTTCTGTACCCTCTGGTACAGAGCATGCGTGTCACACTCCCTACTCTTCCCTCTGGCCCAGGTTTCCAAGACAAACCATCCTTACCTAGGGAGATGCGTTGTCGTATCTCCAAAGGAAAGGGATTGTCCAGGGAGGATCCCAATGTGCAGAAGAGCCCCAGAGAGACAATACACAAACTCCCATGACGTAATGCTTTAGCACTTCCAAATGAAAGATTTTGCTTTTCAAGCCAATTTTTATTTTATTTTCTTTTTCTTCTGAAAATCTGAAGCATTTTGTGGTAAATTCTGCCACCACCACTCGCCCCTGGTTTGTTTCCCTTCCTTTCTACTGGAACAGCTGCAATTTGGAACTAGGTCTACCTGTAATTTATGAGGGATAAAGCATACAAAATAATGCCCTGCCCATGCATCTACCTTGCTGCTTCTTTCCCTCTTGCCTTTATGCATAAGTTGATGCACGCACACATGCGCACGCATGCACACATGCAGAAACACCCTAAAGTTCCCTGCTGCTTTTTTTTGCCAGTGAATTTCCAAGCTTCTCCCTCTCATTCTCCCTTTAATCCCAGGCAGCTGCAATAGCCACCTATTGAGAACAGGATTGTGGGTCTGTGTCTCAGCATGCAGAGAAACTGTGGGCGATATGCAGCATCTATTTTTGAACAAAATAGCCCTAACCTGCTGCAGATGCTTTATTGCACACCGACACAGGTGTATTACATGCCACTGTGCTTTCAGTTGAGCAGTGCAATATAAATACCCACAGGGTATGAATCTAATTGCCTTTGTTGTACCTGATGAAGATAACTGCATGCTGCATACACTTTCCTTGCCAGCTCTTTTACTTCCACTGAAACTCATTTACAATGTCACAAATTAATACAGGCTTGAGCCAGATTCTGAGTGAGGCTCAGTGTGGTACGGTTGTTCCAAACGATGCTGTTTGTGCTCATGTGTCTGGAGAAAGGTAGAAGTGGGGGAATACTGTGCAGGGGCTGGGACAGCGTGTGCAGGAGGGCTCGGGAAACCTTAGAGCAGACCTACATACTGACTCGCTGTTGCGCTCTGTTTTCTAGCTTGGGTTTTGGTTTACAGAGGAAAAGCTATTCTTTGAATTGTTAGGCAGCATGTTTCTGACAGTAAATAAGGCCCTTAAAGAGCAGAAAGGCAAAGCCTTCCATAAATATGGAAGTTTTTTTTTTTTTTTTCATTTCCTTTTCTTCCCTCCCAGCCAGGGGACTGAGCTTACCCCTGGTTATTGTCTGGTAAATTCGCAGCTCAGCGCTGGGACTGCAGGGAGGCTAGCAGCCTGGGGTGAAGGAGGGATGCCTGCAGGCATTGAAGGGCTATGCTGCACACCAGGTACCAAAAGAGGTGGTGGAAGGCAAACCCCTGCTCCAAAGTAGTGCCAGCCTGGCCGAAGCCGAGGTGGGGACACCCTGGCCTGCATCACACAACACTGGCTGCACCCCAGCAGGCTGAGAAGATCTTTGCAAAGGAACAAACCTTTGCCTGGCATTCTCAGGAATTTACCCCCAGCAATGGATCTGTGAGCCAGGCTGCTCAGCAGTGTCACTGTCCAGCCCCAAATAACCCAAGCTCTGACCTTGTAGGGACAGTTGTGTCATTGCCTCCATGCTCCTGGACTTAGCTTAGCATTTGTGGTAGAGAAAGCCTCACCCTGAACCCTCCACCTAGCAAAAAAAAAAAAAGAGGGGGGGAGTATTTTCCACTCGATATTACTTGAGTCAGGGATTCATAATTGTGCAAAAAGGGGTTATATTGTATTCCTACAGCACTGCTATTTCTTGTATTCCCTTACTAAGAGGTGGGCTTTTCAGCTGGGGCAAATCATCAGCAGAGGTAAGCCCATTTCCCCCAGGCAAAGGCCTCCCCCCAACCCCCTGCTTTGGAAGATGGGGATACCCCAGACCAGGCACACAGCCTCCTTTCCTCTCAGCAGGTGCTGCTCCCCACACCAGCAGCTCCTCAGCAGATGTCTGCTGGGTCCTTGCCGAGAGCAAGGCTCACCGGGGTCATTAACACAAGGGTTTTTTTTATTCCTTTCATTATTACAATGCACAGAAAAAGAGAGAAAGGGAGACATTATGCACCTCTGAAAAAGAAATTAACTCCACTTTGAAGTGAGTTGCAAAACAAGAGGGAAAAAAGACCCAAGAAAGAAATCGTCCAACTATAAGTGAGGCTGTGCCATGCTGCTCGTTGATGGGTCTCAGTCCCCTTATGGCCAAGAAAATGTATAGTCATGTCTTGCCTCAGGGCTGTTTGGAGCACAGTAAATGGACTTGTTCAGTTTAATTGGAAGGCAAGTAGTGATTGTATTTTTGTAACCTATTAGACTGCACTGCCTCTTGGTCTAGGATCACACTCAAAATTACAGTCTGGAGTATGAGTGAGGGCCTTGTTTCTACTCCCCCTTCATCTTGATTAAATAATAATTTGAAACAAAAAAATTCAATAGAGATATATCTTGGGTTCCCTTGAGGGCAGCAGTGGGTCCCTTGCTGAAAGCAAAGTTCACTGAGATGATTTAATTACTTATTAGAGAGGGGAGGAAAAAAATCCAAATGTTCGCATAGAGAAAATTAAATTAATGGAAGAGCAGATTCTTTTAAGACACCCTAGAAAAATAAAACACCATTAGAATTCAATTGAGCTCCACATAGTGTTCTCAGATGTGACGCTCTGTTTCTACCTCGTGTGGCTGACATGCCTTTCAGAAGCAGTAAAATGGGACCAGAAGCAAAGCCAAGGTCATCAAGATGGGGAATTTGTCTGAGCAGACAGGCAAGTCGAGCACACCGAGACTTCTCCTGGCTCTTGCCGCAGCACCGAGATCTCCCACAGAGCCTGCAGGAAGCCACTGGCTACAGCCTGGTGCCCTGAGGTGGTGGGGCTGGGAAGCTGCTGTGTCCCCTCCAGCACCTGCCTTGCTCCAGCCAGGTCCCCCAGCCCTCACAAGGACTGTGGGCTCCATATTTCACTGATATTCACATGTTGCCTCTTCCCAGAGCGCTGCTGCCACAGATGTTGAGCTACAGAGGAGCTTGTTGATCCCCTGGTCATTTGATAGATTTTGTGATGTGCTGACAACAGTTGTGACTTTGAAGACAGACTTCAGTGAAAGCAAAGCAAAAGCATGCATCCCAGGTCCCAGTGGCAGTCTTAAAAGCTGTTTTAGAAATGCCAAGAAAGGGCTGTATTTCTTGGCAGAAATAAAGGTCTTTTGGTTTAGACCGGGAGGGAACAGAAGCAAGGTGTCTGCATGTGTGATGCTGGGGTCAGTGTCCCTTGGAGCAGCTCCGTGCCCTCTCCAGGCCTTTCCTACCTCTGTAGCCAGGGAGTACCTCATGTGGTGGTTTTATGCCTGTAAATGAAAGGTGGTCAAAAGCTGGCTGTCTTTTGGTTAACGTTCAGAACTAATGCAAACCGTAACCCATCTTTTAAAAAAATATCTGGTGCCATATTTGAAAGTGCAATCCTGTATATTCTGGGATGTGGTTGGGGAGAGCACAGCGGTTCATAGCCATGAGGCCAGTTCTCTCGGGGCTTTGGATGTGACATCAGGGTTTCAGAAAGAATTGGTAAAAAACAGAGCCGCATACCTGGCTCTCTTATGCTCCTTTGACATTCCAGTTCCTACTGGAGTAAACAAGGACTGGAAGAGAAGTGATAGAGCTGAGAAGTAGCAAGGAGCAGTACTAGATGCTGAAATGAGGACTCGCAATGTGTGTCTCCACTCATTCCTAGTGGGGAACATTTGGGAGGTGTTTCTGCTCTGTCTAGGGCTTCTGCGTGGAAGGTGTAAGAGGGCTAGTGAAGAAGGATCACTTCATTTCCCGTGTCTGCTGCTGGGCCTCCCAATGTCTCCAAGTTAGGACTAAGTATGACTTAGAAGTTAGTATGGGGTGGGGATGGGGGATTCCCCAGCTCCAGTATGGGTTTGCTGGGAGGAACTAATTCCTGTCCCTCTGTCCCTTATTCCAGAAGCAGTAATACCTCTCTCTCTGAGTACTTGGAGATCCTCCAACTCCAGGTGTTTTCAGAGTGTGAGGATGTTGTTGGCAGTCGTCATCCCGTGGGCTGTGTGCTGAGAGCCACTCGGTGTGTTGGTAGCTCTGGTTTCGCTGGCTGCTGGTTCAGCACGTGCATCCGAGCCAGCCGTCCCTGTCCCAGTTAGCACCTCCTGAACTAGGCTGAGAGCAGCCCCTGCCCCAGGGATACAGATCAGATGCCATGGGCAGGAGGGCGGATGTGAAGGCACCATCTGATGGGATGAAGGAGCTGCACGTAAGAAGTGACACAGGCTGGGTCTGTAGCCCCTCTGTGGATGAAAGCGAGCCCTGTCCCTGCGCCAGCTGGTCCAGGGCTAAGCTCTCCAAAGTGACTGGCCCTGGCCCTGCTGTGTGACAACTGATCCAGGCCTCCTCTGCTCCCTGAGGTATTACCAACATTGGAATGTGGTTTTCTTAGCTCAGAATACCCCAGATCTGTGAGGGCATGGCATAGAGGGAGGGCATTGTGTGCCCCAGAGCGTGGCCTGAGGACGTGTGCAGGAGTTTGAGGGAGCATAGCTTACTGGGAACATGTTGGAGGAATATCCCAAGCAGGGGGAACCAAACTTTTGTGTCCATACTCGAAGGACCCTGGACCAAACCTTATGGGTGGGAACAAGGACAGCAGAGCATCTGAGTGAAAGAGGAGGAGGCCGCACAAGAGTGCAGATGTGCTGGGTCTGCGCTTAGTCCTAATTCTCCCCCCATTGCAAGGGCAGACGTTCACGCTAACATAGCCTCGCTCCCCGTGCCGGTACACTCCTGGACTGGCTCAGGCGAATGCCAGTGGAGTAAAACCAGAGCTATAAAATACTCAAATGATCTAAATCCCCTTGGTGGTGTTCAGGGTCTCAGACAACAGCCCTGCCCAAGGCAACCTATGTGGGTCTGGGGTCCTTGCTGACCCCGTTGGGTTCAGCAACCCACCAAAACCCAGCCAGGGTATGGCTGAACCCCCACACAGAGGCTGGCAGGAGCAAGGCTGTTGTCCTCTACCCCATAGGTCTCCAATGCAGCACAGGGGGAGATATTTTTTTTTCCTCTACTTTATTTTTTTTTAATTCTTCCCTCACTTGAGTTCCCTTTGTCACTTCCATGAAACCCAAGGGGATTTAGTGCAAGCTGTGACTTTTCAGCACAAGCGATCAGCCTCCAGGAACGGGCTGGCCAGCCTAATTTAAAGCAGAAGGAAACAAAAATGAATAATAAGTGAGACAAGCAAGCAGACAAAAAGCAGTCATGACATTTGCATAGAGGAGGCGAGCGAACAGTTGGCAGTGTGGATTGAAGAGAGAGTTTATGTTTTTTTCATGTAATTTGAGACTCTAATGATGGACTTATGTTTTTTTCCTTTTTTCTTACACCTTACCTACTAAAGGAGGAGTTCTTGATGGGTAAGTGGATGCTATCCGCAAGACACCAGGGAATTTATTAGAGGTCACTTGAGCGCATTAGCTGTATCTTCTTCAGGGGGAAAAAAGCACACAAAGAAGTATCTGTATACCTTTTATTTCCAGAGGGATTTTTCTTTTTTCCCCTCTCCCTTCCTTTTTTTTTTCTTTTTTTTTTTCAGTTCCAAAGTGAAAGCTTGTTTATTTGCCCGTTTTTAATTTGTACAGAAGCCCTTAATTTGATTTGATTTTTCTTTGCTTATTTTAGTGACATTCATTCAGCAAGCTTAAAAAAAATCACTTATTTAAGATTTAGTTTCATTTTTGTTTTCTTTCCAAGGATTATGTAGGGTTTTTATATGTATATACCCATTTCTTTTTTTCTCCCCCTCTTTAAGGTTAAATAAGGGCTTTGTCCTCTGTTATACCTTTTTTAGTTAGTTATTTTGATTCTTTGGTTGCCCGTTTACTTTGTTGAACTCTTTTGTTTAACATGAATCGCATGCTGATACTCTTTGCATGATCTCTAAATCTTCCCGTTATCATAGCAGGGGGAAAAGAAGTTTCTTCTTACTGTGGATTTCTTTCAGGGATATGTGCTTTTGTTTTCTTCTCCTCTTTCCTCTTTTTTTCTTTCTTTCTTACTTTGTTTCTTTGCTTTTGTTTCAGTGCATCATGATGGTAAAATTTCTGGGCTTATTTAAAAAAAAAAAAAAGCAAAGTAAAACCAAAAACAACCCCCCCAAAAAAAATGTTCAAACAATGCCAAATGGCTTTTTTGCTTTCAGATCTCTCAGTCAGGGTCTTCTGCTGACCTCTTTACCAAAACAGACAGCCCGCCTGGCAACCTAGCCAGCCAGAACGGAGAGTATCATGAATATGACTCAGGAAACGATACTTCCTCCCCTCCCTCCACTCAAACGAGCTCATCCAGGTCAAAGGACAGCCAGGAGAAAAGAAGTCTAGTCCATGATGGCTTTGGCCATGCCTTCTCGTCCGGGAAGCCCAAACTGGCCAACAGCGATAACAGCTCTGATTCAGGAAATTCCTTCACCAGTTGCTTTTCCCAGACCAAGGGAACAGCTTTGGAAAATCTGTCTCCAGATGCCCAGGGACAAGACCGAAGGTCAGTGATTACCAGTAGCTGCTGCTGGCAGCCAAATACCTGGTACGTTGTTGCTCTGTATCTCCTGCCTGCTCGCCAGTTGCAGTGGTGAGCTGGCAGGGAGGTTTTTGTGGTCTGGAGGCAGTTAGGTATAAATTAGACCCACGGTCTTGCCAGTCTGGAGTCCAGAACCCAGCAATGACAACTACTGTAGCCTGAGGAGGAAGATGAAAACCCAGCCATCACACCCCTGGGCATTGCTTCTGCCAGCTCTTCTGGTGTTAATGTGGCTAATGCAGGGTTTGGCCCTGGGTCGAGCTGTGTCCTGAACACATCCCTGCTCAGCTGGGCATGACCATGTCAAAGAAAAGAGTCACTGGCTCTTCTGGGCAAAATCTGAAAGGTGCATCAGGGGGTTGCCATGCTAATTCTCCCCCACTGCTTACTGTGGGGAAGGGAAGTGGGGTTCATTTTCACTAAAACCATTATGGGTTGTTCTTTCACCTGTCCAGTGAGCCAAATCCAGCCTGCCCTTTCCCAGCTCATTCAGGACTGGTCCTGGGTGACAAGAGAGCATCTCCTGCAGGTGGGGAGCTCAGGGAGGGCCAAGTACCTTGCTGGCTGCAGGATAAGACAGCAGCAGCTCTCTGCGCTGGGGCCGTGGGGCATCAAGGCCATGGGCAGGAGTCAAACTGCCACAGGTCATCATCAGGAGAGTGGAATAGATGCCAGCCTCCATCACCACCTCCCATTCCCGAGGTGTTTGCCGGGTGATGTTGGGGATGAAGGCACTGAAGCACAGTGGCTGGTACCTAAGGCTATGCTCAGGCAGTGGTGTGAGGGAGCTCTTCCAGCTCAGGCCCTTGGGTTTTAAAGGCTGAAAGTTAGAGCCAGGATGTGGTCTGGGGGTGGGAGTACTGAATGAGAGAGGAGAGGGAGCCAGGGGAATTGGTGTTAGGAAGAACAAGCCCTTGATTTTCAGGCAGAGAGGGTAAAATTTTAGGGCTGTACATACTTGTACTCACATTGTGACTCCAGTGGGATAACTCTGCCTTCACATGGGTGGAGCTGGGATTGCAGCTGGCCCTGGCTGTTGGGAGACTGCCTCGCTGCTGGGCTTTAACCCCAGTTCATACCCAGGGCACTTCCAGAAGCGGGGGAATTCACGCAGCCCTGTCCAAAGGCAACAGGACATGCCCACTCAGTGCCCGCTCACGCTGCTCCGCAGCCGGCTGGAGCACAGGCCCTTGCCCTGCCCTGCTCTGGCTTTCCCTTGCTCCAGCACTTCTTGCCTCACTCCCTCCCCAGGACCTGCACTGCTCGCTGGCCTGACCCAGGCTCTGCCAACCAGACACCTCTGGTGTGTTGGGCATGGGGCCGAAGAGCTGCTCATCAGGCCACCGAGACCTCTTCTACAGCCCCTCCCTGGCACAGCCTGGAGAGTGAGCTCTTGGGCTCTGATCCACACACACGGGGTCTCCTGCAACAGCAGCCTGGGGAGCCGGGAGGTCTTTTTTTACCCCCAGTTGAGGAATGGGAGGATGGGAGTACTTGTTGGCTGGAGCGTGGTGCTCCCCTCAGCCAGGGACCAGTCCCAGTTCAGCCACAGCTTCAATGACTGTCCAAATATATGTTCACAGAGGGTGCCTGTCCTTGTGTGTCAGCTGTTCGGAGGAGAAGCAAAACTTCCTCCCGTCCCCAGCCCAGAGCTCCCCGCTGAGGCCGTGTTCCCGCAGTGAGTCGTACACCAGCACGGGCAGATCCTCCCCTGGCTCCAGCCACTCCAGCTCCTCACACCACAAGGCCTCTCCCAGGTACTCCCGAAGCAGGTCCTGCTCTTCAGGAAAGAGGTAAGGCCAGCTAAAACGGCTGTCTGTGTGACCCTGGGCAGTGTCTAACTCTTGCAGGCTGGCAGGCTCCTTGCAGGGGGATGTGTAAGAGTTTGCGGGGTGCCTAGGGCTCCACATGGCTTGGGGTGAACTGGCCACACAGAGCTGAACCGAGACCCTGAAATATAGGGCACCTCTTCCCCTTCATGAGCCTAGATTCAGAGGAGTCTGGTACAGCCTCACCCTCCAGTGTGTTTAACTCTTTTTACGGTTCTTGCCTATCCCCAGGTCTTCTTCACGTTCCCCCAGCTATTCTTCCAAATCCTGCAAAAAAAGTCCTGGGAGCAGGAGTTCAAGGCCTCGTCGGAGCCCCAGTTACTCCCGCTATAGCCCTAGCAGGTACAGCTGTCTCTTCATGTGATATCTGCTGCCTCACGCTTTCCCGCTGCCTTCATCACTTGTTTGGACTCCAGCACACTTGCTGGCTCCTGCCAGCCCCAAACTGCTGCCTCAGCTTCCTCACTGGGTGCTTTAGCACCAGGGTGAGAGGGAGCAGGGGACATGGAGTAGGGCATATGGCAGTATGTTATGTTGGCCCTCAATCTGGTGGAAGTTTTTCACTATTTATTGCCCCAGAGCTGGTGCTGGTTGCAGAGAGAAGAGCCCAGAGATGAGCCTTTCACTTGCTGTGGGAAAAGTGGATTTCCTACAGCCAAGGACTACCCTGCATTGATTCAGGGGAATTTCACACAAAGCACTTTTGGGGGTAGGTTGCTGGGAAGGAGATCTGGTTTATCTCTGGCTTTGAAGCATCATGGTGTCTGACAGTCAGGCAGGTGAAGTGGCTGCTCCTCCACTCTGAGCCATTGCAGGGGACACGCTATGCAGCCGAGAGCACACAGATGGCTGCTCGGCGGTGTTTGCCAGGGCTTCATGCAAGTGAGAGGTGCCTCATAGGAAAACCCGGGGAGTGCCCCTCTCTATCATGCTGGGGTAAATGGTGGGCAGAGTGTTAGGCTCTGGTTGGGTCTGCCCACAGCTTTCATCACCCGAGGAGCCCGCACCAGCCAGCAGCCCCTGCAGCAGGGCTGCAGCCCTAGTCAGAGAGTTTTTTAGACACTCTACTTTTCTGAGTCATGGCTCTGCCAAAGAGTTGCAGGCCCTGGGAAGTGCCCCTGCTGCGTGGGCAGGTGCGGTGCCAGGTACCCTCGTGCTGGCACTCACGCTGCCTTGCAGAGGGAAACATAGTCCAGGCAACTCTACTCCCTCCACACCCCATAGAAAACACACATCTCGCAGCTTAGCCCCACAGATGCCTTTGTGCAGGTTTTTCGGCTAACATCTCTGCTGCTGTGAACATTTTGCACCCTTAAAATGTTACATTCTCAGAGTCTGATTCTTGCAGGCTGTGACAATCCCTGCACTGGTGTAGGAGAACATTTCCTGCGTGCAAGGATCAGGCCCTTGACCTGTAACATGTGGCTTTGCAGATGGCATTGAGCAGGGTGTATGAAGTCAGCTACACTCCACCAAAGGGCCTGTGCTGACGTGTAAGGGAATTTAACAAAAGAGAAAACCATAGCAACACCGGCACTCCTTCTGGCAAGCCGTGCAGAGCTGCACAGCCCTGCAGGGATACCGAGGGCCCTCTGTTCGCATGGGGCCTGCTGGCAGGGTTGTTCTCGCCTGCTTCCACAACACGGCCAGCAAGAGCAATTTTACTAGAGCTAAATACAGAGTGCATCCACAAACACAGGTACATGGAAGCCATCTTAGCTTGGCAGCGCAGGGCCACCAGGAGACACTACTGAAACCCCCAGACACAATTAGTGGGCTGTCCAGCCAGATGAGTCTCTCTTTGTCCAACTAACTGAGTGTGCGCAGGGCTGATGCCACCAGAGCACTTTGCTTAGAGTGGTCCCTTTTGGAGATGAATGTCCTCTGCTCATTTGTGCCTTCATGGGCCATTGCCTCATCACCCAAAACCCAGCAGTAACAGTTTCCAATCTGTGCCTTCCCCAGAGACCGTGAGCGAGAGCACAAGTATGGCTCCAGTGAGAAGGAGTCCCACAGGGAGCGTGACCGGCAGCGGCGACGGCGGTCCTATTCACCCCTGAGGAAACGCAGGAGAGACTCTCCCAGCCACCTCGAAGCTCGGCGCATCACGAGGTAAGGGGGGCTGCGGTCCCACCTTTTGGAGACAGGCTCAGCTGGCACTCCCCAGGGGGACATGGGCTGTCCTTGGGTCCGAGTCCTTCTTCAGGAGGAGACTGGTTTCCCTGAGCCTGATCAGCAGGCCCTTCTGCCCCTCCTAGAGCTTGGGGATTTCCAGCTAGAGGCAGAGGGAGGATGAGGGGGTCTCAGTTAAAACAGCTGAAGAAGAAAGGCTGATGGAGCAGGGACTCACCCATCAGCTGCCAAGAGCGTCCCCCCACAGGCTTTTTGTTTCACCGTCTCCTGTGGTAGATGTCCCACGCTGTAGAGAGAGTCAAATACTGACTCTAACCTTCACGCTGAGGGCTCTTTAGGACAACATCAAGCAGAGCTCAGCCTCAGACTTGGTGCTTGGGACATTCCCTACGGCCGTGGGGGTGGGTGGTTTGAATCCCAAGGCCTGTCAGCTACCTGATCTCTTCCTTTTTTTCTTTTAAACGAACACAATCACATTTTTGTGGAGTGTTGTGCAGAGTAAACAGTGCTTTTGGGAGATTTTGGCAGTAAAACCGTTCTTGTGTTGCTGGTAACCCGTCTCTGTCCCCACAGTGCTCGCAAACGCCCCATCCCCTATTACCGGCCCAGTCCCTCCTCCTCCAGCAGCGCCAGCAGCTATTCCTCGTGGTACAGCAGCTTTAGCCGCTCCCCAAGCAGGAGCCAGAGCTACTCCAGCTACCGGACAAGCCGGAGCCGAAGCTGGAGGAGCAGCAGCAGTGCCGAGGGCAGGAGCCGCAGCCGGAGTTCAGGCCCCAGGAGCAGCCGGAGCAGGAGCAGGAGCTATGACTCAGGAGGCAGCTCCGACAGCCTGCATCGCTAGGGAGTGCCACCGACAGCTCGCCTGCCGGCATCACCTCCAAATTCCTGGCATTCTCCGTTTCCTTCCCACCTACCTGGCCATCGATAGCAATCATCCCCGATATTGACGTGGTGGCAGTGCTGGGTCCGCCTTCCCTGGTTTGGAGTAAGAGCCCTCGTGCGCCTGGTGCAGCCCCTTCGCCACCTTGCAGAGTGGGTGGATCAGTCCTGGCTCCCCAGGCCAAGGCTGGAAGAAGGGTCAGTGCTTTACAGAGGGTCTGTCATGACAGACCTGCTCCATCCTCCCCGACATCCCCATCTCCCCATCGCTGCTGCTCTCCAATGCACTACCAGCTGGTCCAAAAGAAAGAATTCAGCTCTTTCCTCTTCTGCCGAACCAGGGACCAGCAAATTAATTTCTGTTGGAGGGATAGACCCAGTTCGGGAGGAATTTGCTGGTAAGCTTTGTTGATGAGTGAGGGTGACCTGTCCCCACCAAGGCAAATATCAGGTCCCTTGGGTCTCTCCTCCAGAGCTTCTGCCAACTCTGCAGCAGGCCTCTTCCATGAGAGAACATTATTTGTTGCCAGTCAGCCAGTCCCTGCTGTAAACAGGAGGCTAGAAATCCCTCCTGATGTAATTCCTGGGGAAAAAAAAAAGGACATTCCCTCTCTTTCTCCCACCCTTTCCTACCAGGTATGCATCATCTTTCGCAGGGTTGTTTTATCTCTCCCCAGCACTGTGACTTGCTTGCAAACAAACTGCTGAGGTCTGAAGCAGATGTGGGGCTGACGGGGTACAAGGGAGAGGAGACCTGGTGCCACGCTGCACTCTGAGGGCCAGGCCACAGCGTGGGAGATCAGGGTCGTGGGGTTCCCTTCTCGGAGGAACCCTCTTGCGGTTTGGGTTTAGGTGTTTCTAAAGGGAGCCTTGCCCTTGGAGCGCAATGCTGGTGGGACTGTAAGGAGATACGGAGGTAGCCTAGCTGTGGGGTGCACTGAGAGCACACAGGGTTAAAGGGGCATCGCATGAGCTAGGGGGACCCCAATTCCCCTTCCTCATAACAGGCAGCAATTTTAAGCAGTGCCAGGAGGATTTCAGGAAATCATTTCCCCTGGAGGCCCTCGGGCTCCCCTGAGGCAAGGTTAGCAGCCACAGCAGCCCCATCGCGGGGCCATGCCAAGCAGCAGCAGGATGCACTCCCTGGGAGCAGTGCAGGGGGACAGAAAGGCCCCCCCCTAA